GACATAAGAAAAAAAATAAAAGAATGGGCTATTACACCAAGGTGTCCTTATAGGTCACACTGGAACGCGTAGCGTTAGTCGGCGGTTAACCGCTTAAATTTTGAAGAGAATAAGTGTCTTCTGCCCACATGCGTTGCAAATTTTAGTTATGCACTAAAATATGTGGACTGTTTTAAATGTAAAACAGGGGTTCGTCACATGGCTCTAATGATGACTTCCAGAATTTCGTACTGACGACTGAAAACGTTTGTTTCAACAGGTTTATAGCAGCGAGGGTGATGCTGATTACCTAGAGGGCGAGCTATCTGTATTGGTGCTTATAGATGGTTAGTTGCGAATAACCGTGAATATAGGCTAGTTATAAGCCTAAGGTCAAACAGAAGCTGTAATTCAGTCCATTTGAAATTAAGTACGTGAAATCATCATAGCTCATGAAATAATAATAAATATGATGTAATGTTCGAAATCTTCAGTTAATTGATTATCTATAGGTCCATAAAGCGGGTGCCAGTCATGTGGTTATCAGAGACCACACAGGTCATCGGCAAGGAGTTCATAACTCTCAACCCATTTCCATAATAATAGTACGAACGTTTAGTCGGTGTTTGTATAAAGTTGACAATGATACTCACAGTTTGCAGGAGATTTGCTCGACTGCTGACGTCGAAGATATGCGCAAATGACTGTCATTAAACCTCTGGTCAAACTTATATTGTTCCATTGCCCATAACAAGGGGCCAACTGATACCAAAATAATAACCATCGATTAAGGATAAAGATGATCGTTGGGAAACAATACTATTTGTGGAAGTAGTCATCAATCGGATCATTGGCTCCTACAGTTCTTGGTTTCATCGTTTACATCGACCATATTACGTGACTGTTATATCGTAACAAAGGCTTATGACGATGTCGAGAGACCATTATAAATAGTTACTTATCGCTATGATTTGACGTTAGCTATGGGGGAAACCAGGTTATGTTGATTGAGATGCCGAACAATTTCGATCGTTTAAGATACGATCTCGCTTACTGTTTCGGAAATGTCAGCAAATAAAATCAAAAAAACCTTTGAATAAAGCTAAATAGTCTGAGATGCTGATTACATTACAAGTCGTGTCGCAGAAATTTTCTTTAACCTAGTGCACAACGTTTATATGCATGTAACAATAACAATCAGAACCACCAACAAGTATTGAGCGATTGATTGATCTAAAATGCTTCATCTAAGAACCATTCGTCCATAGTAGTTTGTCTTACAAGACCAGTAAATATGTCTTACACAACAAGTGGGTGTGTGAGTGATGTTTTAAAGATATATATATATATATGAATAATCCAATTGAGTGTAAGATGCTGCATGTTATAAATTATTGAAAGCCCTATGGATCATTTAGTGAAGCAGTGAAACTCTCCTACACTGATTTTGGAATTAGTCGTTATTGTGATTGCATGTATTTATAATAATCATTCATAGGGATTTTGTTACATGTTACCATCCGACTTTCGCTTTGTCTTCTATTAAGAAAAGACTATAAAAAGTGATTGATTACTGCTCTTACCACTCACTTTAGTCGAAGTATCTTTGTTCCTTTATGAGTTACTCGTGCTAGTATAGTGTTTTCCACATATATTTATCCGTGTATCGTTTAGGGATAAATCGCTTATGTACTTAGTGTGGTAAATAAAAAACACTCTCCTGGCATTTCCTATTCTGGGTTTCGAATATTTTCTGGCAAACAAATTGTCTCTCTAGGAAAATTAGCCTGCTGAAATACTCAGTTAACGGAACATATATTGGAGTCAAATAGAAAGGAATTAATCTCTAGATACACCAGATTACTCCTTTCGATGATGACATTCGTAATACTGTTGACTTAACAATTTTTTCTACTCTCAGATTACAACCTTCAATTCGTTTGTTATCAAACCATCTAGGGCCTACTAAATGTTGACCATGTAATATCCTCTATGATTTCATGATATATGATTGGAGTTGCAATATGACATGTAGAAAAGGATTAAAATTTGGAAAATACATAGTCAAAATTACACGACTACCATGATGGACATAATGATTGTGATTATTCTAAAAAAAACATAAGACTGTACTTCTTATATCCCATGGAATTCATTCAATGAATTGTTGAGCTCATCCTAAAAATAAAGGGAAACATTATTAGTATTGTCTGTGACGTACGTTGTTATTCTTGCTCACCGACAGACAGGCTAAATATGAACAAATACTAAGATAGTCAATTTATCCAATTACTTTGTTTTGATTTCAACCGGGCAAGTGCGTGTATCTAACCCACCTAGACAGCTATTCTTCAGTCTAAACCTTAATTTGGATCTAAAGTTCCCTGAGACAAACGTGCTACACTAGAGGATAGAACTTACCGAAGCCTGTTACACCTCGTAGAGCGTGGGTCGCTCACCGGAAGCCCCCAAAGAACTCTGTCCTGGGCAATTGTTGGCAAATGTTCCTAGACTTTTGATGTTTGCCTCCGATTCACAGCTCGATTTCTTGCATGGTCTTCTTCCCTCCAACTGCGGCTTTGATAGGGTTCCGTCAGTCCTAAGCCCGTGTAAAAGAGGAGGGTTTGACATGAGATCGTCAACTTCATCCCGTAAAATACAACCTTGCTAAAAATGACGTTAGCCAATAAACCTATCCTTATTACTGAAGACTGACTGCAAGTTACACATAATCACAAATAACCACCAAACTAGCTGAAACTACCGTAGTTGATTGGCTAGACTAACATCAGTTGGACATAGCCAAATACCTGGAACCGTACTGAAACAATAATAAACGAGCAAAAAATCAATTGGTTTGTACGAGCATATTGCTACGATATTTGTGGGAATAGTTAAAACAGACCTGTTTTGTAATCAGCTTTTGTTGTTGCTTGCATTTTTCATCAATTCTCACAATCTTTACAATTACCATCAATAATTGCAGAATTGTTGCTTAGAAAATAGTGAATTGACCTTTGACCTTCCATTCCGGTTTGTGAACAAATATAACATGACACACAGAGTACCGCTCACAAATACACTGTTACACTCAACGGCTATTCTGGTTTTGAGACAGATCAACCTATTCATTCCTCTCAATCCACATTTTAACCTTGTCACTTACTGGCATATTAACCCCGACTGCTTTTATATGATCGTATGTGTGCTGATTGCTTGTCCTACTCATTACAACTTATTTTTGGTCCGACCATAAAAATTGAGTGACGTTTGATCAGATTGAGTTGTTTCACTAGCCTTCGTCGATCCGCTTCGCGTTTCTGCTCCCTATCATGAGTCTCTGTCTAGACAAAGGAATGCTTAAAATAAATTACACCATCATCCACATTTGACTTCTTATTACCACCGTCAAACAAACGAGGTTAGCCTACATAATGCACGGAGATAATCGAAAGATTTATATTCATAGCATATTTATACATTCATCCATGGAGGAGTACGAACAACTGGCTCACTACATATTGATATTGGATATTGGATTAAGTGTTAAGAGAGCGGAGGATTGGAATTTGTTAGGCGTTTTCACTGTGATCGTCAAGATCTTCGAGCTCATGACCACCATGTTTAACCAGATAGTATTTAATTCGTTTGAACAAGTGATCTATTTTTTGATACAACTGTATTCATAGATTCAAAAGACTCCATTATCTTTGTCCTGTTAACGAAAACGGACTTCGAATTATACGATCGTAAACATAGGGATAATTAACTTTAAGTACAAACGTTAGTATGATCCGTTTGTTCTCAGCAATCCTCAATATTGGGATAAAATAATAGAAGCAAATATGATGAAGTTACACCACATTTACATCCTCGAGCGAATAATCAAAATTAAGCTAGAGGATGTATGGATTTAAGATACGATTGTGGTTAGTGTGTTGCTGAAACTCGTGACTTCTATTGAATTCCGTGTTTTGGAAGTATTAAGTCTTGGGCTAGGAATTATGGTCTAGTTAGAATGCAGCACTGTAATTTAAATCTGAAATTTTCTGTATTTGGTGCTAACAATGATTTCAAGACTAATAACCTGTTTTTGCCGTTTTTATGTGTCTTGGAGCTCTCAAAAAGCCGCATTTTGTCTGTCCTTGGTTGATTAATCTCAAGGCTTTTCTAAATTTTCTTAGAGTCCTTGGCAAAATATAGATTTTCCGCTACACCATTCAGATAGTATAATTAATCTTTAAACATTGTATTGCAGATATTTAAGGTTGTGGTTTTTATCATGAACTGACGTCATTTATAATGCTCAAATGCTATCTAATCATGTGAATGAATGAATTTTGCGTCAAAATCCAAGTTTTGTTATCCTAGATCTAGTTGGTTCATCCACAAATCATAATCTTGCCGCCATTCTCTTTGAAGAACAAACGACGAGTGAATGGGACCACTCTCAAAGCCTTTGACCTAAAGGTTTCATCCACAAAACAGTGGGGCAAAGTCAGGAGATTCAGTTTCATAATAGCCGCTAACCAATAATTGGTTCATACACCATTTGTCCCCTCAGGATTCTAAAGCCCGTTTGCACGGTTAGTTTGGAATCAGGGTTTTCCAACTTTCCCTGGGTGAGTCCTCCATATCTACCTACTCGTTTAAGGTGCCGGACATTCTCGTTTGGTCCTTTCAAGTTTGAGACAACACCCCCACCGCGAGAAGGCAGTGAGTAGGACTTCCCTGTCAGTGGCTGTTTAGGCGTTATTATGTGAAAGCATTTCGAGATGGAGAGATGACTCTCCCACCCTCGACCGTATTCGTGGGCACTATTAATACAATGTAGGTTTTGCGTGTATCCTAAGTAGTTCATTAACAGCGTACCTTTTTCTTACATGACAATAACTTGTTATTATAATAATGAGTTTCAACACAGTATTTTAAAGAGCGATCTATTTGTATATAGTTTTAGGTATTCTTGTCACACAGATAATAATTTCTAGTTGTCTTGACAGACTGCAACTTCAAACAAGATGGATGTACAATTATCGCTTATGAACTTCAGCGAAAAGTTTTATGGGAAGATATTGGAAGAAAACAAGAGTAAGATAGTCTTCCATAGTACACTGGTTAGTATGCTTAGACAAACTGGAGAATACTTTCCTCTCTCCTTTCAATATCTATACTACCCTCGGAATGGTTCTGTCTGGCAGTGCATTGAACACAAAGGCTGAGATAATGAAAACAATGCAATTATCTGAATGCTTAGAACATGATAAAGTTCATAGCGGAATAAGTGAACTTCTCAATAACTGTTCAAAAAGTGGTGGTGTTAACATTATCCTTAGCAGTGGACTTTTCGTTGAACGTGATGTTAGTATCAAGCAGCAATTCGAAATTTATTTGAAGACTTACTATAATGCACTGATAGAACATGTGGGTCTTTATTTTGAATCATTAATTATCTGTGTAGATGACATTTCAGACGGACATAGAATGTGCTCGTAAACGAATAAACAAGTGGGTTAGTGAACAAACCAACGGAAAGATCCAACAACTCCTCTCATCTGGGTCCCTAAAAGAAGACACACGGGTTGTAGTGTTAGCTACTACATATTTCAAAGGTGAATCTATCTGTTTGGCTTACACTACCTATAAATGTCTTTAAAGTCTTAAATCTTTCATTTTATTTGGCGATGATAATTTTCATGTTTGTTAACAATTTTATAACCAGTTTTGTTTTCTAGGTTTATGGAAATCGGCTTTTCCTGTGAGCAACTCTCACGTTGATAAGTTTTTTCGTCTAGAGAGGTCAAAATAGACGTAAGGTTTATGTATATTAATTCCTCATTCGGCATGGTCAGCCTGCCACATTTGAAGTCACGAGCTATCAAGATACCTTTCAAGAGTCCTAAGTAAGTGTAAGTATTTTGAAACCTTTTTAAAATACTTATTTTTATTTTATTTTAGTGAACAAAGTTTTAGGTTTGTTCACGAGAATCCTCATGCTATTCTTTCAAGTACTGAATTATGAGATTTTGCTACTCAAGAAGATGTGTTTCTTTCCAAATCACTGCAAGGAAGTGAGCTTATGCAGCCATTAGATCTGTAAGACAAAGATGCTGAGAAGTTTCATAGTCATCATGATCGAAAATTCGAAAACGTTTGACAACTATTACAAATGCTTAGTAATTTTCAACTAAATAGTTTACTTCAACGTATAATTTAATTCAATCGTAATTTTGTCTAAACTGCGAATGGAGTAGAAAAATCTCTAGCAAATAATATCGATATTTAAAGTCTCTGACTTAATGTAGAATAGATGGGTTGTGGCTAGCAGTGAAGTCCAGGACGCAATGATCCTGACTATATCGTCTAAATCTACCTACATTTTGAACTTGATGTTCGTTATGGGGGCCGAGCTCAGCACCGTATATTTCAAACATCACCTCGTGATCCAGTTAGCTACTGAGTCCAGATAATCCACATCATTTCACGGACTGTTAATTTTTGACATCTAGGAGTTATGGGCTTTGTCATTGTGATCAACTATTTAGCTGGGAAACTTCAACAATGTATCCTCAAAGTAAATAGGCTTTGTCTCATTTGGCTAGGCGTAATCCCTCTTTGAATTTATAAAACGCTGCTGTATACGTTTTATGTACGATTAAATTTCAGTAAATATTCTTGTGTTTTTCCTGTGTACTATTTAAACTTGGATTAATTTTAATTTGGTTCTTTGTTCTCTGAAGAAGTGGCTTACACTGAGTCACGAAACTTTAGCAAATCTAATTTTTCTACTAATTGGGATATTAAAAATATATTATTTATTTATAGCAGTCTACCTGATGCTTAATTTATTCGAAATTATCAAGTCAAACCTTGGTAATGATGCCTATAATCTATCTCTAAGTTAATCTTTATATCGATATATCCAATCTTTGCATGCCGAAAATTCTAATAATGCAGAATGGTTACATAAATTGTAAAACTCGAGCCTGCTCCCATATGGTTTTGCTTGCACATAAAAATTTTGACAATCAATTATTAAAATCTTAAAAATACTATCAGGAAGCATAAGATTTATTTACAAGATCTAATAGGTGAATAGTATCCCAATCAAACAAAGTAATCATTTCAATTTAAGAAGCAACGACGTCTCAAAATGTAAAGTGGATTACTAGGTGTATACACAACTAGCAAAGATGATAGAATAACTAACACTTATCGAGACTCTGTTATTACGAAGTAATTCTTCTTAAGTAGATCTTCCCGTTAAAACTGACCGATAATAACATGATATAAATTTTGTGCGAAATCAGATTACTGGTTATAATTAAGCCGTGAACACAATCAACTGGCTCTAGCCAAACCTAGAGGTCATCGAGACACTTGGACGCCTATAATTTTTACCTGGTTTTTATGTTTGCTGTTTCTCAATATTTTGAACAATTACATGTTGTGGTTTTCGTGAAATGTCCTTTTGATGCGTGTCCACGGATCCTTTTTATTTAAAACCAGATGAAAAACTATGGAGAAAATGAAGAACTAAGCAACACGATTTATGTACTTTTTTTCATCAAACAATTCCTTAGCCTCATTATAGACGATTGTATCGTACTAAGTCCAGTGACTATCAATAGTGAAAGCAACCATCTATGCCATTTCTTGAAACTCACCGCTAACACGAGATTCTTTCCATCCTCTCTATAGTCAGCTTTGCAGTCTTGCTTTCATTAATCTTTAAAAGTGACAGAATATAATATTTCCTCTTGACAGATATCATCTGGTTTTCTTGACAACAATCTGCTGGATACTTTTAAGTAAAATATTTGAGGAATATGTTATCAATTAGTGTCATATAAATATTGCACTTCAGAAGTCTTAAGAAAATAATCCGCGACTGGAGAATTTTCTACATCGCTTAATGAATCAATCAAACTTTAGCTTTGCAGAATGATCCACACTATTGAAAAGGAGGCCAAAAGTTATATATTATAGAAACCTAAAGAGGTCGATTAGTCTTGGTTAAGGGAGTTAAAATTTGTTTGCGATGTGACTTTGATCTTTTTGTTAATGTTGAATACTAAAATTATTCACTTTTATGTGTAAATATCTATGGTACTAGAAAGACAACGGTGTACAGTTTTAGTTACTTCACGTCATTGTGTAAATAGTTGTAAATGTTTACTTTCTAATATTTAGTTGAAATCATCGCGACAATAATTCAGATTGAACTATTAATGTGTCATTACAACAAACAGCAGACATACATATCTTATACGGTTTGAAAAGACTTACAATATGTTATGCAAAGTTGAAGACAGCTGTGTAATGATTTGATAAAAAAATTTGTTTGACTGCGAAAAAATTGCTACTTATTACAGTGTAACGAAATTGATTATATATCTATCCAAAAAGCTGGCAAGACTGAAAATGAGGATTCATTAACACCACAAGTAAACCCACAAAAGATATATTCACTGATTCAAAAACCATGCCGAAAATATAATGCCATCTATATTTTATTTGTCTGGTCGGCATTAAATTTTCAGCACATCAGTTTCTAAATATGTAGATATTGGATGATTGTTCATTTTGCCTTAATATTCTATCTTGTATTATCTTGTTTTCAACCTATTCTTGTTATAGATTTCATTATTGGTTGTTCTTCCAAACACAAATGACGGATTACCTGATTTACTGAAATCATTGTGTAAAGACAAAGGAATTTCATCAATTCTTTCTTCTAACTTTACGGATACCAGTATACACTTGTACTTACCGAAGTTCAAACTGAAGGAAGGCAGTGCTATAAGCCTTGTAGGTTGTCTACAGAAAATGGGAATGAGAGAGGCTTTTTGTCCAGGATCAGCTAACTTTACAAACATGTCTGAATCAAGTAATTTTTGTATAGGAGATATACTCCATAAGGCTATTCTTGAAGTGAGTTGTATAAATCTTGTGTTTCTCAACAAACTTCGTTGTCAGACTGCATTTACCTGTTAATATTGTGAAATAAACTTGAAGCGCTGGTTGGTTGTAGCCACTATGGTTGAGATTTGATTTCTGTCTACTTGTTTATACAGCAACTCATACTTGCGAGTAGTGCGTCATGTTATTTATTCGGAGCCACACCCTTCAACATATAGAGCCGATTACTAGTTTGATTCGTAGGACTCTGTCGAAATATTGAGTCAGCCTAACACCACAAAATTGTATCACATGGATGGACTTCATTCAGATAATGTTTCTTGATTTCTCACTCAACCTCTTTGTCATGAAATAACTTTAAATATAATACAATCCATTAACATGTCCACGAAAATCCATGCAACCACCTGAAGGCATGTTATTTTCAATTACATCGGTCGCTTTTCCACAGGCTTTTGTCAGTCTCTTGAAAATACTTCACATATCAGTGTGATACTGATATTTTCGTCACTCACGAAAGACTATTTTATAAAGGAAAGTTTGTTGTTCATTTCAATTCGTTATGGTTACCTTATGGTTATTAGAGCACTAATCAGGTTTTATTTCTTAGTGATATTTGAGATAGATTTCACCACTCATTGTGATTAGTTTTATTCAGAAAAGTGTTTTCATATTAAGTGCTTTCAGTAACTGATGACAGAGTGATTGATTTTGTCTTTAACTGTGATGAAATTCTATTGAGGAAGTTGCAATGTGACCGCTAGTTTAAGTGGCTTGGCATTGCAGTGCACTGTGATGTGTTGAAAGTGTTTGGAGGTGGTTGTAACGAAACTATTGACCTAGGTTCAGTGATAGTTTGTTACTGTAAGACTGAAACTGGAACCTTGGGGGAACTGTCGCCCTCTGTGAAAATCGAATTCTGTTATGTCTCAAAGTGACAGACAGCCGATTATATGACAGTGACTTATCGATCGGATCAAGGATTCAGAATCTCGATAGCCTATTCTGGTCCGTTGTCCCCAACTCTGCTAACTCGATCAAGAAGTCTGGGTAAGGTGTAGAAAGTGTATTCTACAGACAAACAGCAGATAACAAGTCAGGCAGGCAGATCAGATCAAGCATACAAGTCAAGCGTATTTATACAATTATTTACAATCGATATTGTCATGGAAGATTTTGAACATTAATCAACAATTGACTGCTATTTGAACATTTAATCGATAGTTTATCAATTGACCTATTTGTACATTTAATCGATAGTTCATCAATTGACCTATCTGCACATTTAATCGATAAGTAAATTACAAAATTTGAGTTTTGGGGATCTATCGTCCCCAACAAATTCACATCAACCCTTGTCACTTTTTAAGATGTTACCACTGAGCTATTTGTGCTACAACTAATCTCCTGTATGAGCTGAATATTAAAATTGACGGATCAGCGAATTGTAACCAATGTCATGTTGTTTATCTGTTAGAGGTGATGAAGTTTTGTGGACTTAGTTGCAGTATTATCAGTAGTCCAATGAACTTGATATCTCAATAAGCGTTTTTGTGTTCCAGGATTGAATGACGCATTAGAGCCGTGAGTTTATTGACTTCCGTTATTGACTTTCGATTCCCAATTATGTCACACATATTTCTATTTACCCAGAATCAATCACGACGCACTACGATTTGGAACCACATTGGTTCACAGAGTTTAGTTAACTTTGGAGACAAGGTGACTCAACATAATTAAATCTGAGTTGACTAATCCCTCCTACATTGTTTACGTTGATGAATGCTTCAGACAAAACGATAATGAGTAAATCTGGAATTTCAGATGACGTGGAATATTGTTATTATTTCTACTGTTTCTTCCACTTAAAAATTGTTAATATAAGTTCTATTGATTTTTGTCCATAGGTGGATGAGCGAGGTGCAGTGGCAGCTGCAGCCACTTCTGTAGAAGTTATTAATCTTTCTTTATGTGAATCTGAAGAACCTGATGAGGAATTCCGTGTTGATCATCCATTCTTCATTTCAATTATATGGAACAATACTGTGCCAGTATTTCTTGGACATGTAGTAGCTCCAACGGAATAGTAGCCTAAGTAGTATATTCAATAATTAAAAATATTTTACTGATCAAATCAGTGTTTAAATACTTTCTTAACTTTATCTAATCGTTTATTCGTGATCTTCATACCTTTAATATTGAACAGTTCTAATGAGCAGTTGCTTATAATTTCATGGACATGATATGTTTTTTTCAATGACCCCTTTGAATGTTGTCACTTAGAAGTCGTTGATCAAGGTAACTACAAATGTTTTGTTATTTTGTCATACAAAAATTGTTTAATTTCATTTTCATTAATTTCTTGTCGATTGTGAAAAATATAAGTCGACTACATTAAGGAATTCCATTTGCTGACTAACTCAACTTTTGAAGATTTATGCATAAACTTTAGAAACATATTTAAGTGTGAAGACAAGTGATACTACATAGTTGTTTAAGCACAAGTAGACCTAGTGGCGTTGGAACATGCAACTTTTTAATTGAGACTGGAACACCTCAAGCCACTGAGACACTGATCCATGGAATAAGGATTGGACTGCATCATCTATTATAAGTTCAATTATTTAGTTGATGAAATTTCGGAAGTTGAAGAACTGTGTGTTATTATAGTCGTTAGCAATGTCAACTCAAGATGATAGCCTCGGTTAAGTTCATGTTGGAGTCGGAAAATCCCATGTTGAACAGTTACAAGTAGCTATTGATAGCTCAATGATCACCATTGTATTTTAACTGATACTTAACCTGAACATTATCTCAGGCCTTCTCCCTCAAAGCTGTTATGTGAATGAGTCGAAACTGTCTGAGAATATTCTCTGTATATGCAAATCAATTGTGAAAATTATTGACTTGATAAGTTTTTGAGCAAACATATTGAATGTTGCATTTTACCAAAAATCTCTGCATTTATTCGACATATCTACAAGTTTAACCTGTTTGAATTGTCAGCTTTTCGCTACATTTAAACCTTTGATCATACTAGAGTGAAATTTCGTAGCAGTCTTCAGGATGTCATACACTGTTGAACCACTGTTGTTCAGGTACTGTGAAATAGAATTGGGGAGATGTATGAAAGAGGTAGAGATTGATAGAGCATGTAACAAGTGGACTGTCTAACGTCAGTCCAGTTATTTATATAAATGAATGTAGTATAACATCCTATTTAAAAACTGAATGAAATTTAACATTTTATTGATGAAATTTCGGAAGTTTAAGAACTTTGTGTTATTTTAGTCTTCATACAAAATTGAAAAGTGACAGGGTGAGGATCAGGCTATGGTTGTCGGCAAAGTTTCCATTTGAGATCATGAATCGACTGATGTCTGATCACTAATGAAAACCTAGAATCACTGGACGGCCGTTTCATCCTATTGCGAGACCCTTCAGCAGTGTGCACCCGCGATCTCTCTCTCTCGCTAACTCTTAACCTCTAAAACCACTGAGTCGTCACCCAACAGTGTTAATGTCTAACCTCAACCAATCCAAGAAAAACAACCATCCAGTGCTTTCAGGTTTTCAATGTTGGTCTAACATCAATCGATTCGTGATCTCAATCAAAAAATTAATAATCTCCACAACCTCATACTGATAAAGTTTTCAATGTGAAATGTTTAAACAAGTTATTCTCATGCATCATTTCACATGAACATTGTACATAATGATACGATGAAAAATCCAAAACAGAAATCTTCACACAATATGAAGTGGCACAATTGAGATTGTATTCTAATCATCATTAAACTAATCGTTTGTTGTATAATCTCCATCGAAATATAATCAAGTGTGATATCAACTTTGTACAAGTTATCATCATCATCATCATCTGATGTATTTACATGTGTCGTAATTTGCTCAAATGGTTTCATCGAAACAATACAAACTTTTCATTTATTATGTACATGATAAAGCATCATTAGATTTCCTAAAAGAGCTGTTGTTTGTTAAGCACAATACTTGACATAAGTAATTCATTATACATTAAGGAAATATCAATCATTATAATATTAAAGATTGTAACTATATGCTGTAAAGGGGGATTTCACCATAAGTAATTACTGCATTACCAATGATAAGCTATTAGTTTCATTATTTTGGAAATGATTGAAAAGTTTAGTATTCAGGTAAATTGATTTTGTATTCTGATACCTTTCAGAGTTTTATGGTTTGAGTCTGTCAGATAGTTGATAACTATGGTTATTGTCATGATGTCGCTGTGTGTTGAACCAGTTTGTTTTCTATGTTAGCATGGATTTATTTGAAATTGGCAAGTGAATTTGATTTATATCACGTTACCATGTTTTGATTTGAATTAGTTGATCACACGGTAACATTGTTTTGTTGTGTATGTGCGTGCGTGTGTATTTCAGTTAGGTTACTATGGTTTTCCTAATGCCAGACTAACTTATATTTGCAAACAGTATAGATTAAAGATTGCTGTGAAACATGTAAACCAAAATGTTGGACAATAACAAATTAGGAGTTTGGGGTTTTAAGGACTGTTTAATTTGACTAGAACCATGAATCGATTTGAGCTAGATAACTGTTGGAAATATGGAAGCATATGATGGTCGTTTCATCCTAACCGACGACTTCTCAGCACTACGCCTTCACGACCTCGTACTAGGATGAAACACCTGTTCAGTAATTTTGTTGGTTGGACTGGCTCATGATTTCGTTATTCACCTTTTCCCATATCGATTTAGATAATGACATGGTGTCAGTGACCTTATCTAGGTGAATAATCTATCACCTCACCATTACCCATGTTTAATAAGTTCTATTGAGACGTTGATATAATCTATTGTTAGGCTGCAAGTAAACTTGTTTTGTTTCTAAAGGTTTGATAGATCACCATACATTCTTATTAGCGATCAATAGTAAGATTGTTATCATGTCAGCTGTTAAACATTGCAAACTCAGATTTCTGGGACAGAAAGCTTTATTCATTTTGACATGAAGTACCATTTCTTTATTGTGAAAAAAACTGTCTAGAAAACCCTACAGAAGAAAACTTAACAAGTACCAATAACCAGTCGACATTGTTCAGATAATATTACTATCTGACTTTAAAAACATTCCCACACAATTTTCATCACTTTATGATCATTTGGTTTTCTCAGAGGTGTTTCATTATCCGAAAATTTGATATACTTGTTTTCCTTCATTTGATATTGTTTGTTTGTATCTTTCCATTATTGTTTTAGGACTGAAATTGATCGTTCTCTTTTTGACATATGTACATACTGTTCGTATTGCCTCGATATTGCCTGAAGTCACAAGTTTTATAAACAAAGATGGATAGTGGCTAGCAGTGGAAACCAGGACACACGTTGCATTCTGTTTAGGACTTGTCAGCTGGATGTACCTGCATCTCAGAATTGATGTTCACCCTGGGACTCGAACCCAGTACCGTTCATCCAGTAGACGAGTACTAAATACGATTAAACGCACGTCTTGAACTCCACTGCTACTCACTATTCATCTTTGCCTACTATACTCATTTTTGTTTTTAAAAATACTCAAAAAAATTTCACAGATTTACAAAATGAAACGAATCTTTGCATATTTTTAGTTGTTCTAATCCTAGTTTACGTTAATAGATTACTCATCTAATTTTATGCAGAAACCTTTGGAATCACGTTATTTTCAACACACATAGATTGATAGTAGTTTTGCAGATTGATACAATAAGAACGAAACACCTAATTGACGTATACAGTATACTATAAGAAAATCAATAGATTGAGACACAATAACATTGAAATAACAAATGAAGTAATGAATGATTATCGAAATATTTGATGCAGTTCACTTGATATTATGTACTTGAATCTTCTCATTGATGTTTACGACTCAAATTGATCAGTCTAAGTGGATAACGCGATGGCATTTGAAGCAAATGGTACCGGGTTTGAGTCCCTAAGTGAACCACCCATTCTGAAGTGTAGGTATATCCAGCTGACAAGTCCAAAGATAGGACGAAACGCGCATCGTAGATTGCACGACCAGCCACTACCCATATTTGCTTAGAATTCTTGTGAATTAAGGCAATATCGAGGCAATCCACACAGTATACACATGTGTCAATAAGAGACTGATCAACTGCAGTCCTAAACATCAGTGGGAATATTTAAGTAAACAACAATACCAAGTTAATTTAAACTTCACTTGGTCGCACGAGGAAGTGGCTATGTGGTTTGGCACAGTGTTAAGATTGTATAAGTCGTATTTTGATTGGTGGATAAATCGCGTGATAAAAAGCCGGACATAAAGCCATAACAGATGTCAACGGGTAATATAAACGAACTAGAGATATTATCTATCACCATTCAATCTCAGTAACTATTGGATATCATGAAGTTATCAAAGAGGTTTACATCTGACGATTAAGTTTGATCACAGATGCATAAAGTCGACTAAGAGTTATTCCTTTAAATAGCTGCTTATGAGGGATGCTTGCAGTTACATTTAACAATAACTACAATCAGATAGAACTAATTTAACGTCTCGTTGTGGTGTGAAAAGAATTAGGAGTGTATAACAACCATTTTACATAGTGTCGAAGTACCTGATTCTTGACTATTAGGTAGCGGATGTGAATTGCAGCAAGGTAATATTACTAGTTTTTCTAAATAAACAGCATGTAAATTGGCACTTAATAAATTTAATCCAAAACTGTTTTTATAGTTGAATTCGTGAGTCAAATAAAACTAGACCATCATAGAAAACCTGGAAACACTGGAAGGCCGTTTCGTTCTATCATGGGATTCCTCAGCGGTGCGCATCCAAAACCCCGCACGTGTGACTCGAACCCAACACCTTTGGTCTTGCACGCGAATGCCTAGCCTGTAAACCACTGATCTAACGTCCAATGGTGTTATCGTCTAACTTCAACCAATCCATTATATTGCGCGATCGTTGTCTTCAGTGAGTAATTGCCTCTCAACAGACACAGTTGAAATCCATTGATCACGGCTTCTCAATAGAAGTTCAGAAAATTCATCTTTTCAACGGTGATCTAGACTAAGTC